GGGATTGGCCTAGGGAATTTTAGTGGGGTTTTTAAGGGTAATTTTAAGGGTAATTTTAACGATTAGGCCTCTACGAATATTTTCTTTTAATTTGGTTTTAATTGATACTTGTTGTAATGTTGTTTTATAAGGCTGTTAGCCGCCCTGAGTCCGGTGTGGAGAAGGGCGGGATATAAATCAAATTAAATAAATAAATAAAATAAAATAGTGTTAAGGCACAAGGTTTGAAGGCAGGAGACTGTGAGTTCAAGTGCCATCAAAGCCAGCTGGGTGACTTTGGGCCAGTCACTCTCTCTCGACCCAACCCACCTCACAGGGTTATTGTTGTTGTGAGGTAAATAGGTGTATTGAATATCTTCATTGCCTTGAGTTGTTTATAAAAATAATAAAGGTAGGATACAAAAACAAACAAACAAAATCTAGTTACTGAAAACATTAATCAAAGAACTCCCCCCCCCAGCTGCTGCTATCAGCCTGACAGGGCCCCATCTTAATGACAGCTTATTTCTGTACCTTTAGCTATCTGCAGTGGCATTTTGTTTTTCCATAGGCTTCCCCAGGACTGTCCCACAGGCTGAATCGCTGGATAAGGTGTGGCCAATTGACACCGTGATTGTTTTAGACGTTCCTTTTGAGACCATCAAGCAACGTTTGACTGCACGCTGGATTCATCCTGCTAGTGGCAGGGTGTACAATCTTGAATTCAACCCTCCCAGAGTCTCTGTAAGTTTTGTCTATATCTAGTGCAGCCATGCAAAAACAAATATTGAAAGCTATCTGCTGATCAAACCATCAGTGTTCACCAACTTGCACATCGTATCCCATAGTTTCCAGCCAGCTGCTGAGCTGGGCAAATGTGTGCTAAATGTTGGCTGATTCTATCTGTTGCTAACCCCTGAAAAAAGTCCATTATGATTGTAATCAAAATAGAGTTGTGTTGTCTTTAAATAATTCCGTGAGCTAGGCTGGGATTAGAGTTAGAGTTCCTTCTCTTCTGTTGTGATGAGTAAACTATTAATCATAGCTGGCATGATTTAACAATATTCGGACAATATGTGTTGCTTCTTTATGTTTAGTTTGAAAATTGCTCATCTTTTGCAATCATCACAATGTAGGGACATAAATTGGAACTTTTCACTTCCAGAAACTGTATACTATTGGTAATTAAAAAGGAAATAGAAATATCAGCCTGCTGGGTCAAAAACCTTAGGCCTCAGACCTAAAAATAAAAATCATTTTAAAATGGCTGAAATGAACTAGCATGAGATTTCAGCTATTATTCTTTAAAATATTCGTTTGGGGATTTTATGGAGAACAACTTAAAATGTTGCAGATGTTACAGGGCAATTTACCTTATGATATGTCAGTAATACCTCCATAACTTGTTCAGTTCATAACTTGATTTTTTTTTACCAACTTACAGTTCTGTTTCTATATTCTTATACATACAATAATAGTGTTTTGTAGAAATCAGCAGTGATCAAACTTCGTAATAATAGCAACAATGTTAGCATGCATTAAGAAAGATTGGACATATCTTTTTGAAAGATCGTGTCATACAATACAGCCTTTTTGTTGCCATAGAAACCATCCTTCTCTCCTGCCCAATATTTTAAAACTGTCTCTTAATTGCTCAAGAGATTTCTTGGACTATTGCACGGAAGCTGAATATTTATTAAATATAAAGAATATTGCCTGTTAGACGATGTGCTAACTTCCGTGATAAAAATGTAGGCAGGAGTAGCAGCTTATGGCACAATTCAAAAACCAGACAGCACGCAAATTCCATAGAAGAAAACTCATAGATGTATAAACTGCTGTTGTTCATAGTAGGGAACTTTTCTTTTACCATAAACAGGGCCGTGATGATCACACAGGGGAGCCTCTTGTTCAGCGTGATGATGATAAACCGGAAACGATTATGAAGAGATTGAAATCTTATGAAGCAGAAACCAAACCTGTCCTGGAGTATTACCGGTAAGCACATTTCAGTGTGCAATATTTAGTCTAACACTTTCTCTTTAACATCTCTGCCACAACTTAGGGATGTTTCAGATGTGCTATGCAAACAGTGAGAAAAGAACCCTATGCATGGATTTTTGTCTTCCAATTCATGAGGTGGTCTAGGACAGGGGTCCCCAACCCCGAGGCCCACTACTAGGTGTATTTGCAACCAGGCCATGCGAGTGGCAGGCTGGCACATACACACATACACATGCAGCTTGACTTGCATGAGCAGCGGGCCGGCATGCATGCACATGTGTGTACACCTCAACATGCGCAAGTTGAGCTGCGCACACATGCATGTGTGCGTCAGCCCGCTGCTTGTGCAAGTTGAGCTGCATGTGCGCATGTGCACCAGCCCATCGCTCACATGACCTGCTTGCTCAAATGGAGCTTCCCGCGTGAACGCCCTCTGCTTGCGCAAATGGAACTGCGCATGCTCACTCACTGCTTGAGCGTCCTGGTTTCAAACGGGTTGTGCCCGGGGGTTGGGGTTCCCTGCTTTAGAGTCAAATCAACTCTGTCATGGAATCACTTGGATTTGTGCACCACCAAAACAATATTGCATGAACATTGTCCTCTGGCAACAGGGCAACAAACAGGACTTGGCCAATGGTTACAGTAACTTCTGTCATTTCCTAACCAGCCCCTGCAAGACAGTTGCTGCTGAGAAATGGTTTATTGGTTTATCTACTGCTTGCTGAGACAATATCTACAGTTATGACTGTATCCTGTGTCTTTATCTTCCCAGAAGTTGCTGGTTGCTCCATCAGCAGGGCTGTTTTCAATTGTGGTTATTATTTTACTGATGATTAAAGTTATACTTTGTCTTTCTGTTTGGATAAACAGTCAAAATGGTTTGCAGCCATTAAAATATGTCTTAGAAAACACATCATAAAATTGCTGGAAATAAAATAAGAGTTAAGTGCTACAATGGTATAATTAAAGTTTGCAAAAGAGATGCATTTTGGCCGTTTTCCTAAACCTTGGGAGAGAAGACTAAACATGGCTCTTAGGGAGGGAATGCACTTCGTGATCTGGAAGCTGCACAAGAGAAGGGCCTCTCCCACATGCCAGATAGTCGAGTTTCTGACTGCAAGGCCTTCTTCAAATCTCTGTCTCCTGCTAAGCCAAATAATGTGCTCTAAGTATAGACTTCAGGCACAGAACAAGAATTGATACAAGTTACCCGTGGTGTGTTTCCCCAAAACTAAGACCGGGTCTTATATTAATTTTTGCTCCAAAAGATGTATTAGGGCTTATTTTCTGGTTAGGGCTTATATTCAGGGAAATACAGTACTAAATGTGTCCATCTGGCTGACAATCTTAACTGGGGCTTATTTTTGGGGTGGGACTTATATTACGAGCATCCTGAAAAATCAGGCTAGGGCTTATTTTCCGGTTGGGTCTTATTTTTGGGGAAACACAATATATTAAGAAAGCAATATAGCTTGACAGGTCCACTATGAATGAAACAGTAGGCTTGAAGTAAGAGAAGGCCAAAAGAAAAGATGGAAACAGCTTGTAAAGCTGAAGGAGGTTTTAAAGCTACTTAATAAAAGAGTGCAAAAGCAAGTAAGGTAGTCCTCGACTTACAACAATTTGTTTAGTGACCATTTGAAGAGACAGTGGCATTGAAAAAGTAACTTACGACTGTTTTTCATACCTACAACCGCAGCAGCATCTCCAAGGTCACTTGATCAAAATTCGGATGCTTGGCAACTGACTCATATTTATGACGGTTGCAGCATCCTGGGGTCATGCAACCACCTTTTGCGACCTTCTTTACAAGCAAAGTCAACGAGGAAGCCAGATTCACTTAACAACCACGTTACTAAATACTGTTAGCAGTATTCCAGTATTTGAGGGGCTGCCACAGAGGAGAGAGTGTCAAGGACAAGAAACAATGGATGGAAACTAATCAAGAAGAGAAGCAACCAGTAAATAAAGAGGAATTTCCTGATAGTGAAGTCAATTAACCAGTGGAATGATTTGCCTCCAGAAGTTGTGGGTGCTTCATCACGGGAGGTCTTTAAGAAAAGACTGGACAGCCACCTGTCTGAAATGGTAAAAAAAGCAAGGTTCTACTTTTAGGCAAGAAAAACCAAATGCACAGATATAGTATAGGGGGTATTTTGCTCAATAGTAGTAACTGTTGAGAGGGACCTCGGAGTCCTAGTGGACAATCACCTAAATATGAGCCAGCAATGTGCTGCAGCTGCCAAAAAGGCCGACACAGCACTAGGCTGCATTAACAAAGGGATAGAATCAAGATCACGTGAAGTGTTAATACCACTTTACAATGCCTTGGTAAGGCCACACTTGGAATACTGCATCCAGTTTTGGTCACCGCGATGTAAAAAAGATGTTGAGACTCTAGAAAGAGTACAGAGAAGAGCAACAAAGATGATTAGGAGACTGGAGGCTAAAGCATATAAGGAATGGCTGCTGGAATTGAGTATGTCTACTTTAATGAAGAGAAGGACGAGGGGGAACATGATAGCAGTGTTCCAATATCTCAGGGGCTGCCACAAAGAAGAGGGAGTCAAGCTATTTTTCAAAGCGCCTGAAGGCAGGACAAGAAGCAACGGATGGTAACTAATCAAGGAGAGAAGCAACCTAGAACTAAGGAGAAACTTCCTGACAGTCAGAACAATTAACCAGTGGAACAACCTGCCTCCAGAAGCGGTGAATGCTCCAACACTGGAGGTTTTTAAGAAGAGACTGGACAGCCATTTGTCCGAAATGGTATAGGGTTTCCTGCCTGAGAAGGGGGTTGGACTAGATGACCTCCAAGGTCCTTTCCAACTTTACTATTATTATTATTATAAATGGTGTAGGGTCTCCTGCTTGAGCAGGGGGCTGGACTAGAAGATCTCCAAGCTCCCTTCCAGCTCTATTCTGATTAACTATAGTGATTCACTTAACAACTGTGGCAAGAAAGGGTGTCAAATGGGGCAGAAGTCGCTTAACAAATGTCTCACTTAGCAACAGAAATTTTGGGCTCAGCTGTCATAAGTCAAGGACTATCTGTATGCATTTTGTAAAAGTTTGCATACATGGAATAATATGCAAATCTTTAGAACACAGTATGCAAACTTTTAGTATGCCAACCTCTAGAACATAGAATCTTAAAACAAATAATTGTCCAATTGATCTCCTATACTAGACTCTCAGAATCTAAGAATTGAGAGAAAAACTGTTAATGTGCAAAAATAACTAATGTACTCTTGTCTTCTCTCTAGTCAAAAAGGAGTGCTGGAATCTTTTTCTGGAACAGAGACCAACAAAATCTGGCCTCATGTTTATCGTTTCCTCCAAACGAAGCTGCCTGAAGTGAATCACACGGGTTGAACATGATTCGTTTTACTAATATACGGAAACTACTAATATATGGCTAAATATCTAGTTTCTAGCAATCTTTGGAATCATAAAAAATTAGGAACGGACTGGGATTTTAGTGATGGAATTATGAGCCACCCTGATATATAGCTGTCTGAAATCTCTAAAATGACCATGTTTTAATTCTGTGCCAAAATCTAGTAGGATGATCGATTGCTAATTTTTTGTACTGGGTATATCTGGATTTTGTAAAATGTATTTAATAATAAACTGATTTTTAGCAACATTTAGTTAAAGTATCCATGGAGTCTGATAAGGATAGTAATTTGAAGTATCAGTCCCATTTTGAGAATTTACACAAGACCCCTTAAACAGGATGTAGGTAAGATCATAATAAAAAGAATGAGGTAGTCTGTTTTGTACTCTATGGGGCATGAGGCTTCTATAAAAGAACAGCAATCTTGAATATATCAGTTTACTATTTTGGAAACTTCCCTAAAACATCTGTATTAAGAATTCAGACTGAAAAATCTGTGTAGAACATTTTGTTTCAAGCTTCTAGACTACTTTTGTCAATATTTACCACAATGTTCCAATGCTTTGAGTTAGTACAGCTGACGGATCTTGTGGCTAGCAGTCCTGAAAGTGAACTTCGTACCATCTTGGTGTTTATATCAAGGGTGGACATGTTTTTTCCTGCCTAGGCATTTAAAATTTATCAATTAAATCAATGAGGGTTTTTTTTACGTTGAAAGCAGTAGTGTAGGAAGGTGCCTCTTTTTCTAGAGTTTCAGGACGGCATTAGTAATTTAAGATTACAGCATCCATTTTGCTTCTTCAAATGTACTATAATATTTGCTGTATCACAAACGCTTAGCTTCCTAATCTTATAGGATAGCATCCCATTAGCTTGGAAAAAAAAGGAAGGCAAAGAATTCTATTCAACCAATAACAGTTAAAACATCATAATGCACAACTATAAA